ACATAAATATGCACTAAATGAATGTTTTAAATTTATTTTAATGTTTAAACAAAAATGTGGCTTATGTGGATGGTTAGGTGGCATCATGAGAAGAGAGAAAAAGCTAACTTTATATATATAGATTGATAAGTTATTATTATTTTTATAGTAGACCTTTAAATATAGTTTTTGAAATACTATTATGAACTTTGAAATTGATTTTTTATCGGTAAGTAAAACCCAAAAAAAGCCCGAAAAGCCCTGTAGCCCTGTTAGGGCCGGGCCGGGCTTTGAAATATATGCTCGGAAATTTTTTGGGCCGGGCTCACGTATATGAAGGGTTTACGGATTTCGGGGGCCGGGCCGGGCTAGCCCGATTGACATGTCTTAACTCTATGTGAAACAAAATGAGTAATATACACATATAAAAGTATATTTTGTGGAAAAGGGCTACAATGAAATTATAACTTTAATTATTCCCAATATTTTCTTCTATATTAGTAGTAAACAAAATGAGAATATTCTCAATTTAATATACTGTAGGTGGCTAATTCCACTTGCAAAAGAATTTTAACATTAATTTGATACACGCACAACGTACCTTTCTGATCTCCTCCAGAGTGTTCTTAGTCACTGAAGGGCATGCAAGACCATTTCTTTTCTTGTGTAGCACAGTTATTTGTTTTTTATTGTGATTACCTTCGTTGATTTTAGTGTTATCCACAATTCTAAGATAACTTCCAGTATGCTGCATTGAATATAACAAGCAAAGATTATTAATGGTTGAGGGATATATAAACTTGAACAGAACAAAATCAAGATACGCAGAGGATTTAAAGATTCTTACAGAGAAAGAAGAGGATCTTTCCATCACATAATGTAGATGAAAGCTGGAGCAGCCAAAATTCTGGGGGGTGGTTTGGGTAAGGAATTCTTGCAACAATAAGAAAGTGAGATCCTTGTACATTAATCAAACATGTTTATTAGGCTATGAGTCTATTCTAAAGTGCTGATAACATCTTCTTTCTTATCCCTAGAAGGTTGTGCTCGTGAAAAATACAGATGCAGCTCCTTAAACGCTTTCTATCACTCTTCTCATCCACAATTATGTACCATCTACATTCATTTCTTGTAGTTTCTTAAGATGTTCCTCAAGCTCCCCTGCTACTGCTTTCTGCTCCTCCTCCCACGCTTTTTATCGCTCTTTTGATCCATTCCTAAAACCAATTTAACATAATACCAATCTTGAATCGATGAAACTCCAATAAAAGTACGTAACAACAGAAAGATAAAATATGTTGAATTTAGCGATACAGTCTTACGCAATCCTTAATTTAAGAAAACATAGGATTTGAGATCGCTTACAGAGCAAGAAGAGGCATTTTCCATTGTTAGGTCATAATCTAGCTTTTGCCTCTTTGATCGCTTTGATTTGCCTGAATAAGATTGGTAGTGTTCTTTTTAACACTTGTATCCCTGCAGTCAAAGAATCAACACATTAAGAACGTAATCAAGATATTAAAATCAATGATGAGGAGTGAGGACGCAACCGTTACAGTCATGCAGCCGAGATCATGCTGAATTTTTAACAATTTAGCTTACATGTCTTGATTTTGCATCATCTAGCTTTGCCTTTTGATAGCTTTATTTCTCTGAACGAGTTTGGTAGAGTTAGCTATGTTATCAACACTCTTTTCTCTGCAGTAATAACACACAAAGAAAACACTATTACAAGGGAATCATGAAACCAGATTTAAGTGTGAGAATGGTTATTAATAATCATATGAGCTACCTTTTCAATTTTCTGACTACCATTGGCAAGAGACAACTGTGACTACTTTTTTTATGCTTGAGTGCAAACGAATTTCTCAGCAGATTAACCATTTTTCAAGTACTTTGCAGCTTCTTAGAGTCCATTGACCAATCTCCTTGAGAAAACAGCTGTTAATTCCTTGCTGTTCAGAAGAAAAAGAAAAAAAAAGTATTCTTGATTGAGGGAAAAATAAATTTGAAACAGGAAAAAGTAAACAAGGGCATATAAGAATTTTTGGATGACTTACAGAGCCATGTTGACAACGTCCTCTGAACATCCGTCACTTGCAAAGACACAAAAACAATACTTTCACCAGATAATATTCATCAACAATGCTTGGATTCTGAAAGTAGAAAAGAGAAGAATAGGTGATAAGATATAACACACAAAAGAAAAAGAAAAAGAGATTATTAAAAGTTAAGGGAAAACACTTGAAACAGAAAGAAATAAAATCATGATCAGGATCTCAATAAGTGTTTACTTACAGATGTATTTCCCCATAGTTGTTGTTGTTGATGTTGTTATTGTAAGAACACACTGGTGATCGTTTTTGTTCTGAATCGACTTCGTACGTCCTTGAAAAAATCTGAGTCATCGTGCTTGTTGGAATACAAACAAAATTAGAAAAGTTAAAAGGACTCGAGAGTACCTCAGTAGTCTAGCATCTAGCTTCGCTCTTTTGATCCATTCCTCATAACCAATTAAAGAAATTATCAATCTCAAATTGTTGAAACTTAATAAAAATCCCAAATAAAAGACGAAATTCCTTATTCTTAGAGATTCCCACAGTCTATGCAATATCAAATTTTGGAAAACATAGGATTTTTGAGATCACTTACAGTGCAAGAAGAGGCATTTTCCATCTATTGGTCATAATCTAGCTTTTGCCTTTTTGATTGCTTTGATTTTCCTGAATCAGATTGGTAGTGTTATTTTTAACACTTGTTTCACTGCAGTCAAAGAATCAACACATTAAAATCAATGATGAGAAAGTTTCAGTCATGTAGTGAGATCATGATGAATTTTTAAAAATTTAGCTTACTTTTCTTGATTTTGCATCATCTAGCTTTGCCTTTTGAAAGCTTCATTTTCCTGAATGATTTTGGCATAGCTAGTTATGTTTTCAAGACTATTTTCCCTGCAGTGAGGCAATAAAGAGAAGAAAAAAAAACACTATTACAAGAAGGAACATGAAACCAGATTTAGGTATCAAAATGGTTACTGGTTATTAATTAAGAAGGTGAGCTACCTTTTCAAAAATTTATGACACCTGCCATTGGCTTGAGACAGTTGTGACTGGTTTGACTGGTTTTTTGCCTTGAATGCAGACGGATTCCTCAGTAGAATAACCATCTTTCTAGCAGTTTGCAGCTTCATAAGGTCCATTGACTTATCTTCTTAAGAAAATAGCTGTTAGGGAAACAGCACCATTCTGGAAGTTAAAAAAAAAAAGTTAAAGGGAACTTGAAACAGAAAGAAATAAAATCATTAAATTTGGGATTCTTGATTGAGGGAAAAATAAATTTGAAACAGGACAAAGTAAAGAAGGGCATATAGGAATTTTGGGATGACTTACAGAGCCATGAAGACGACGTCCTCTGAACATCCGTCACTTGCAAAGACACGAAAACAATACTTTCACCAGATAATATTCATCAACAATGCTTGGATTCTGAAACTAGAAAAGAGAAGAATGGGTGATAAAATATAACACACAAAAGAAAAAGAAAAAGAGATTATTAAAAGTTAAGGGACAAAACTTGAAACAGAAAGAAATAAAATCAAGATCAGGATCTCAATAAGTGTTTACTTACAAATGGTTTCCCCATAGTTGTTGTTGTTGTTGTTGACTTGGGCCGGTCATCCTTAAAATGATGCATGCGAAGAAAGAGTAAACCATATATATATCTCCATCATCTAGAGAGGCAACAAAGAAAACAATGAAAAAAACTCTGCTTTGTTACCGTAAGGGAAGTTTGTTTTTGTTTGGTTCTGAATCTTCTTCATTCTTCAAAATCTAGCATATCTCCGATCTGCACAAAAATATTAAATTAGAAGAAGCTTCGTTAAAACAATAGCCTAAGTGAAAACAAAATCTCACTCACATTCCTATCTTAAATTGAAACAACAAAAAATTAGAGGAAGCGGACAAGACAACAGATCTATACTTTTTAACCGATCAGTTTGATGTTGTTATTGAAAGGATACACCGGTGACCGTTTTTGTTCTGAATTGACTTCTTTTGAAAAAATCAGAGTCATCGTCCTTGTTGGAATACGAACACCTAATTCTTTTGACCCCTAAATGAAAAAAAAATTAGAAAAGTTAAAAGGAGTCAAGAGAGTACCTCAGTAGTTTATCAATTCGCTCTTTTGATCCATTCCTCAAAACCAATTAAACATATTATCAATCTTAAAACGTTGAAACTCAATAAAAATCACAATTAAAGGACGAAATTCCTTATTCTTAGAGATTCCTACAGCCTACGCAATAACAAAGTTTGGAAAAACATAGGATTTTGAGATCACTTACAGTGCAAGAAGAGGCTTTTTCCATCGTTGCCTTTTTGATTGCTTTGATTTTCCTGAATCAGATTGGTAGTGTTGTTTTTAACACTTGTTTCACTGCAGTCTCAAAACATTAAAATCAATGATAAGGTTTAAAGAGTTTCAGTCATGTAGTGAGATCATGATGAACTTTTAACAATTTAACTTACTTGTCTTGATTTTGCATCATCTAGCTTTGCCTTTTGATAGCTTCATTTTCCTGAATGATTTTGGCAGAGCTAAGAATCTTTTCCCTGCAATGAGGCAATAAAGAGAGAAAAAAACACTATTACAAGAAGTAATGTGAAGCCAGATTTAGGTATCAAAATGGTTACTGGTTATTAATTAAGAAGGTGAGATACCTTTTCTAAAATTTCTGATACCTGCCGTTGGCTTGAGACAGTTGTGACTGGTTTGACTGGTTTTTTGCCTTGAGTGCAGACGGATTCCTCAGTAGAATAACCATCTTTCTAGCAGTTTGCAGCTTCATAAGGTCCATTGACTTATCTTCTTAAGAAAATAGCTGTTAGGGAAACAGCACCATTCTGGAAGTTAAAAAAAAAAAGTTAAAGGGAACTTGAAACAGAAAGAAATAAAATCATAATAAGGATCTTAATAAGTGTTTACTTACAGATGATATTTTCCATTGTTGTTGTTTTTTACTTGGGCCGGTCATCCCTAAAATTATGCATGCGAAGAAAGAGTGAACTATATGTATCTATCATCTAGAGAAGCCACAAAGAAAACAATGAAAAACTGACGTTGTTACCGTAAGGCGAAATTCGTCTTTGTTTGGTTCTGGATCTTCTTCCTTCTTCAAAACATAGCATATCTCCTATCTGCACAAAATATAGCATTAGAAAAAACGTCGTTAAAACTGTTAGTCTTAGTGAAAACAAAATCTCAGTCACATTCCCATATAAAATTGAAAAAAAATAAAATCGAGGGAGAGGACGAGACAACCTGTCTATACCTTTTAACCAA